AGGAACTCTTCCGCTGACCTTATGGTGGTTGTGCTGTTATCTACAAGATGGCTGATCCGGTTGCTCAGCCATCTGGCCAGCTCCGAGGTTGGTGTACCTCTGAATGAGACGATAGGGCGGAGGGGAACACCTTCCTTATGGATTTTTGGCAGGCCATAAAACCTAGCCATAGCCGAGCCACCTGGGTGTATCCTCCTCAGGGTGTCTTCATCTACCTTCCTACCATATTTGAAGTTGTTGAGCAGCTTGTTAATGTGGTTTTTAAGTGCAGTCGTGGGGTCCTTATTGATGACTTTGTATGCTGCCTCATCCCTGAGCAGTGCCAATGCTTTATCTGTGTAATGTGTTCTGTCCATGACTACAGTCGCCCTCCCCTTGTCTGCTGGTAGTATGACAATGGAACTGTCCTCTCTAAGTTGTTCCGAGGCTTCCCTTTCCTCTCTGGGCAGTATTTGGCAGCGTTTGTGATTCATCAACAGTCCCGTGCCCTGTTGCCTAATGGAGTTCTTAACTTCATCTCCTACCTCAATGCGATGTATGGTGGGCTCCAGTGCTGCTACAAAATCTAACGCCCGTGCGTCCGCCAGATTGTGTCCTGTGTCTCGTTGTAGTAGGGCAAGCTGTGGTCGAGTCAGTATTTTGAAGGATAAGTTGTGGACTAGGCTATCGGCGTAGTTGCCATCATCTAGCATCTATAGGCTGTCCGTTTTTCGTTGGAGTACTGTAGTCGTTTGTCGGCTCGCCCTCTTGGTGGCTTGGCCAATATGGTAATCTAACGCCCGGAAATGCTGATGTGTTAATTCCATGTTGCAGGACTCACGGTAATCTTGGGCCCATATCTTCAGAATGTCTATCCGTCTGTGCTGGTCGTTGATTAAGGCACGCATAATGCAGTGTTGAAACTGGCAGACGGCCAGTTGGCACTCCAGGGAGTCGATGATTGGTTTCTTTCTCAGCGACTTGGGAGGGAGGTCCTCTCGGATGCAGTCATGTAAAAACGCCATGGCAATGTTCCTGGGACAGGTCCTGAACCATCTGGACCGGTACACATCGTTGTACTCATCTCACTGGGCGATGGTCTTCAGGTAATTAATGGAGATGTGTCGTGCCAGTTTCTCCCATCTCCTTGCATTGAGCAGCACTGCTCTATCATAGTTATCTCTGATTTCATTAAAAATGCAAATCCTGGGTAAAGTCATACTATAAAAACAAATAAAAATGAACACCAGGATAAAATTTAAACTAAAAACTTTCAATCTAATGCCAAGCTTTCATCGGTCAGCAATACTGACATCATCCGGGCTTAAAATAGGTCGATGGGAGTCTCTTTTTTATAGCACTGGCCAGTTTTTGCGCACGACTCCTGGACCTCGTCATCGGTCCATCCGATGATCCTGATTGTTTGATTTTTGGGAGGCACGCATTGGCTGTTTTCTTGGTGTTTTTTAGGGGTGCTGCTCCATTGTTCACTTCCCTTACTCCATCCTCCCCTGTGTGCGCGTTACCATCTGCTGCCCCACCACAGGCTCCCAAAGGCAGCGTGTTCGTTCACCCCCTTTTTTGGACATTCATTTCCTTCGTACATATCCAGTTGTTCACTATCCTCCTATTGATATATCCGGGTATACCGAATTCAGTGTGTCCATAAAGCTAGTTTTTTGGCGTCTTTTGATGATGAGTGTGTGCATATGCATGTACAGTTGGTATGGTAGGTATGAGTGTGTGCATATGCATGTACAGTTGGTATGGTAGGTATTGGTTTTAAACAGGCTTGTAGAGTTGTAACATTTATATATGGAGACAGAGGAATTTATCTCAAAGAAAAAACCCTGTGTATTAATCCTGTATTGATACCATAGATCAATTTAAAGGAGGAACAGGATTTTTGCCATCTCAAAGTCTTTATTCTCATAGCTGAAATTTGTTAGGAATGCATTACAATGGTGTAGAACTTAAGGTATACAGTATATTAAGAAAAAAAAGATATTACATCTAGGCATTCCACTTCAACTTTTGAAGGTCCTCCCCAGAATGTAGATGATAGTAGGAAGAAGCAAATTATTAATATTCTAGGAAATGTAGTGTGGGCTGGAAAATGTGTAAATCTGACTGAGTTATCTGGAAAGCCATGTTTGCATCCATAACAGAGTCTTTGCTTTTCTTCTGAACTTTCTATTAATTCCACAGAACCAAATGCATGCATACACCTGAAGCATAAGTTACACGATTAGAAGTATCAAAGTTGTGCAATCACCAATACCTGGTACAAAAATGTAGATGGCCTTTTCATCCAGGACTTGATTGTCGGCACAGGAATATTCACCTGTGTTTAAACCAGTCAAGTTCCTTAATGTGAGGGTGTTGGTAAAAATGGTGCCCCTTTTCTCCAGGACAGCGTCTAGTTTGGTATACTTGTTGTCTGTTTTCCATAAAACCTCATTGTGGCCTGAACATTTCAGGGTAAAATCAGTGTAGAGATTGAGGACAACTTCGTGGGCACTGGGAGTGATTTCCAGGGAGCTGATTTCTTTCACACCTTTAAGAGATAATTTGGAAATCAAATTAGCAAGAGACAGAACATAGGGGATAGCAGAAGAGTGTGCAGAGATTGATGTAAGGACAGGGATAAAACAAAGCAACATGTTTCTGTATAATCTAAACATTTGAACTGCTTGAAAAACAAAGTCATTTTTCATTTGGAGGTAGGGGCTAGAAGCCAGCCAGTCAAGATATTTGATTAAAAATGAATGCATAGCCATGAATGAAAAGGTCTTGTTTTCCTTCTAATGCCTTTTCTGTCTAGGAAGATCCTGAGATTGGTCTCCAGCAGAACAATAAATTATGAGTAATTGCATGATGTGAGTATAATTCAGGCATTGTGTACAGAACTGGAAAACTCCAGTATAATAAGGATATTTTTTCTTCCTAGAACATGGCATATTTTGACCCGTTAATTTTGACCCTTGTTACTGAAGTGTCTGCTGTGATTTGTGTTGAAGAAATCTAAACAAGCTAAGGATGTGAAATGAAAATGAAAATTGCCAGGAAATCCATGGGAAATGATACAGTAGACAGCATTTTCCTGAATTGCTTCCTACAAATCTTAACAATGTGCCTCTTTTCTCTGCTGGCAGTAGCACCAGGCAAATACCTCACCTCTTTCAAAACCTCCACATCCTTTCCTAAATAGACACATCTTACAGTTGAGTCACTAACTAGAAGATAGCTTCTCTTTTTAGATAACCTACTCACTACATGTTCCTGATTTGCAACACCTGATGCAGACCTTCTTTATCCAAGACCTCTTTTTCCTTGCAGATTACAATCCCATGCCCAGTTCAGTCATCATTGCCACAAACAGCTGAACTTAGTATCCCTACTGAACTTCATATGGATACTATTATTCACAGGCACACCAAAAGCATCATGTTTATGGTCACACTCTTACTCTGCCAGATCCAACAGTTGTCCATACTGTCCTTTTCCTGCAGAGTCTTTGTTGAAAAGGGGGCTGATAGAGGGGCAACTCAATAGAACATATCAGCTGAGTCGGCCACCGAATTTCAACCTGAAGAGATAAACTAAAGACTCTAGACAAGCAATCTGTCCATGTAAACTAGCAATTTGCATACAAATAGGACAGTACCCAAAGTCCCATAAAAAGTTTCAGCTGCAAAACAAGTGTTGCAATGAACTAAACCAGACTTTGCAACCACATAAGCACTTACCTAGGATGAATTACTGCTGTATTCAAACTACTGCTGTTTTTAAGACTACACTTGCTCAGATGCATACTTCTGGTCAGATGTCCTCACAATGAGTAACTTCACAGAGTT